TTAAAGTTTCTATCATCATCATCATCATCTTTTATTTGCCCTATTTACACAATACAAAAAAATTTATTTACAGCGGTTATAGCTAGAAGGGGAGGAGACGCAGGAAGCCACCGGGCTTATGGGAGAACAACCTCACTTACATTAATAAATAAAGTAAAGGAAAAGTCCTGCGAATGCGCGGCTAGGCCAATTCAGTGATTATTTAAGCAAAAACTCTTGCATTTTCGTCTTAAAACTAAGAAGGTTTGACGAACGAGTGATTGAAACAGGAAGAGAGTTCCAAATTTTAGGACCTTGGTAGAAAATTGTAAATTGCTTCAGATTTTTACAGCACAAATGCGTTCGATAATTACTGGTTGTTCTGGTACCATAATTGTGAATTTGGCTATTCGTTACAAAAACATTGAGAAGTAATGGAGTAAGTTATTTCTATAATAAAACACGAATTTGGCGATTTCAAACGTACTGACTTGGAAAAATATCTAAAATTCCAAGTTTGGAGAATAAAGGAGCGGAATTTGAGTTGGTGATAGCCCGCACAGCTCGCTTTTGCAAGAAATAAATTCTATTTAAGTTAGGTACGTATGTGGACGACCAGGCGCAGTTACAATAGACGATATAAGGATAAATTAAGTAGTAGTACAAAGTGAGTTTGGTTGTAGAGGATAGGAAAAAGCGAGACCTGAATATAATACCTATTGATTTAGCGATTTGTTCACATACATAGCTGATATGGTGTTTCCAGGTGAGATGATAATCAATATAGACACCAAGGAATTTAGGTACGTTAGATTGTTGTTGGGATTTACCTCTAAAGGAGAGAGAAATGCTGGAGTTAAATTTCTTCTGTCTGGGTTTAAAAATTACGTAGTTAGTTTTCTTTATATTAACTGAGAGCTTATTTCATTTTGGCCAAACATCAATATTTTGGAGTTCATCATTAAGTACGGATTCTAAGCAATTTGGGTTTGAGTGAGAATAAAATATACTGGTGTCATCAGCGAAAAGCAGAGGGTCTTTTAATTCAGAAGCATTAGGGAGGTCATTTATGTATAGAATGAACTATAGAAGGCCTAAAATCGAACCTTGAGGGACACCACACTTGATGGTTTGCATTGGAGAGCAAGCTTGATTAAATTGGACAAATTGCTGGCGGAAAGAAAAGTAGCTTTTAAACCACTGCAGAGCCGCGTCACGGATACCATAGTTCTCCAATTTGGCAAACAAGATTTGATGGGCGAGAGTGTCAGATGCTTTGGAAAGATCTAAGAAAACACCCACCGTTGTTTCGTATTGGTCGATTGCAGAAGCTATTTTATTTACCAAATGAGTTAGTGCGTGCGATGTCGAGGGATTTTTCCGAAATCCAAACTGACAGCAGTAAAGTATATCGTGTTCTTCGGCAAATTCTACTAAGCGATTGTATATGACTTTTTCGAAAAATTTTGAAAAATTAGACAACAAAGAAATAGGTCTGTAGTTTACAAAAATGTTAGGATCCTCTGCTTTGAAGATGGGAATAATTTTAGCGATTTTAAGTTTGTCTGGGAAAATGCCTTTTAGCAGAGATAGGTTGATAATATCTGCCAATGGAGCAGAAATAAGGTGAAATGAATACTTAATGACATGCACAGGGATACTGTCATAGCCAGGAGCCTTCTTTGAAGCGAACATGCCACAAATGCTTTCCAATTCACTAGTCGTGGTGGGCTTTAAGTTAATGGAGGGATGGTTATTATCACCAAGATAAGAACGAAAAGAAATATTCACATTGGGTATAGATTTAGCTAGGTTGGGACCAATGTCTGTAAAGTATTTAGAGAATCTGTCAGCGATCTCCATTGGATCCGTTAATGTTTTGCCTTCAGATTTGAATGATGTGGGAAGAGATGACTTATTTTTACGCTTGTTAATAACCTCATTTAATTTTTTTGAGGTCATTTCTGGCATTCTCAAATTTGGAGTCGTAGTATTCTCGTTTGGCAATGCGAATAAGATGGGTGAGTTTGTTTTTGTAGGCTTTATACTTGGTCTCAGAAGATGTGGAAGATGATGTGACGAACTTTTTGCAGAGTCTGTTCTTCTTGTTAACGGATTTCAGAAGTCCACGGCTAAGCCATGGAGAAAAGAACTTGTTTACCTGCTTACCTTTGAGAACCTTTAAAGGGAAACAGGTGTTATAGATTCTGGAGTATTCTCCAATAAAATTATGATAGGCTTCATTGGGATCTTCCATGTTGCGAAATGAGGACCATTTTGCGTTTGAAAGGTTCTCGTTGAATTTATGCAAATAATCGTCCTTGAATGTGCGCATCACAATTTTTCTTTCAGTGCTGCGTGTTAGAGTTGCGTCGTCAAAATATGCAAAAACAGGTAAGTGGTCAGATAAATTATTTAGAATAATGCCACTAAAAAACACAATGGGCAAGGTTGTTGGTAAATATGTTGTCAATAAGCATCGCAGAATATGAGGTGAGGCGTGTTGGATTGGAGATGAGAGGAAGAAAGGCGTGTGAAAATAAGCTGTCAATAAATTCAGTTGTCAATAAACATAGCAGTGTTTTGATTTGGTGGTCTGTACACGCAACCAACAATAATATTTTTTCCGTGGGGAACAATAATTTCCAAGAAAAGTGACTCAATTACATCTGAATCTGAAAATTTGCATTCTTCGAGAAGTTTGTATTCAAGGTCGTTTTGTAAATAGATTCCAACTCCGCCGCCTGATTTCGATTTACGATGGTTGGAGACAAAATTGCATCCTGTGATATTTACGAGCTCTGCAGTGCAATCAGTTTGCCAAGTTTCTGACACACCAGTCATAATGGAGGTGTTCTGCGTAAAGGTGTGAATTATGGCAAACAATGGCGTTTAGAAAAGAATGATGTCTTTTAATAGGCGCCTTCAACCTCCCGGTGTTTTAATCTGAATAAATTAGGTGTTATGCGTTGAGGCGTGAAATTTGGAAAATACAGGCAATTAAAAAAGGTCCGTCAATTAGTGAGAATTCATTTACAGGAAAACTGCTAAACCAAATACTTTACAAATGTCAATTTGGAATCTCGATATAAAATTCACGTTATCCCAAACCGATTCATACCATATTTTTTCGGGAGGGGGAGGGGGAGGGGGAGGGGGAGAAGGGTGCTTCGACCCATCAAATGCCGTAATCTCATTCATTTTTCGCGTTTTGGTTGCTCGAGATTGAGTTTCACACGCGCACAAAGAGGTTGTCGTAGGAGCAAATTAGTCATTCGGCGCATGTGTGTCGCTAAGCCGACTTCAAGCCGCGATACACTTCTGGTCTTTTACATTTCTTTCCAATTTAAAAATATGTGCATTGAAAAAGAGATGAAGCAGCGTCCAACTAAAGTTTTGCTTGGTACTCTCTCCATGGTATGGTTTTGCATTGGCCATACGTCCATCGAGATTCACCAGTTTTGGAGGGATGCCTATTAACCGACTAGTAAGAGTCGTATGACTCGTTAATACATTAGACGATCCTTACGGATCGTACAAATCGATTCATCATCATTACCAGACTGACAAAAACCCCAGTATCATTAAGGCTATTCACGGATCTACAGCTCGACCTGTGAATGTATTAGACGAGCCATACGGCTCGCATATCTCGTGAATACCAAAGACGATCCCTTCAGATGCGGTTCGCACAACTCGTGGACACATTACACGATCCATACGGATCAACAAGTAAGTTTTACGACTCGTTAAGATCCGTGATATTCCTTCGCTTCGTTCAAACTTGCAATCCGCTCAAAGTAATAGTTATCGTCATGTACATATAGTACATGGCCGATGAATTTTCCGCAGTTGACTAAAATTTATTGATCGATTGATTTATTGATTCTTGTAATATTCCGTACCAATAGTCGAACCTTTTGGTACTGAATAGAAGACTTAGAAATCTACAAAAAAAAAATTAAGACTGATTTTCGAAATGATAATAAAAAAATGAACGAAAAGTGAAAACGCTCGGGAGTAATATAACTGTAACTTCATCGTGAAATTTGAGCAATTGAGGTACTGATGTGTGGGTAGGAAACCATTTCGATTTTGTATTTCGGCTTCGTCATAGAAAGAATGGGTATGTGAGAGTTTGACCATTGTTCAATTATTTATCATCGTACAATGGTCTTCATTAAGTATACACGAGTTTTTTGAGGAAACTCATTTAGGGTCGTTTGGCCGCCCATTCACTCAACTAACCACCTACCAGCCAACTAACCAAAGATGCAACTTTAAAAATTAAAAAAGAATGTGAATTGTAATCGGTTGGGGAAAAGTAAATCTATGGCGTGGAAAAGCAAAATAAAGTTTTGAGAAGTGTTAATTTGCAGACTTGAGATGAAGCTTTCCAGATTTATAAAATTACATAGAGCCCTAAAGGTTGTTTTCCTTAAATTCTAATGTTGACGTGTTTTATACTTTGGTTTGGATATCAAAGAAGAACAACAACAACAACAAAAAAAATACAACGCGGAGATTTTTTGACAGTCACCAATTCAAGTATGAGCTTGCAATTAGTTTCGTTGATTACATTTTAGGCTTTGGTAAGACTTTATATTATTAGAGTCATACCATGGCTAATGCATGGTTCTCGACACTATCTAAAATCGTAAAATTGATACCCTTCCTCAAATGCATCGAATCACTGTCTTTGAAGAAAATGCTCCCTCGCCAATTTGAGTTTTTCATCATTAATTAATTACATCTTGATTTTGCCTTGTCACTTGGAAATTGTACACAAAACAAACTGATGAAAATCGCCATCAGTCCTTTCCAAAAACGTGATGCCCAAAACTAAAGTGCAACAAGATATTACGTCCGTGTTACAGCACAAAATCGTAGTACATTTTAATATATAAAACTTCATAAATTTTACGTGAAAACAATTAAATCATGTATTTTGAACTCTTCCCAAAGGAATTATTCAGCAAATATCTCTGACAAGGAATGAAATCATTATCATTAAAATTTACCTTTTGGCCGACGGCACACCACACCAGCATGATAATAACAGTAAGAATAGTCCTCTCCCCATCCCGCATGACTGCATTGTGAAACTGATGTCTCATTTCCTTCACATTGCATCCTGTTCAGCCACACGGGACCTTTTCCTCCTCCATATACTACGAGTCGTGGTGCCGATAAAGCGCCATTGTATCCAAGCTGGCGACAAACTACATGTGCATCCTGTAAGTCCCAATCGTTTTCACAAATTGTTCCCCATGTACCACTATACTGCACTTCAACATGTCCAGAAGATGGTGAATTAGTGGGACTCACCAAACGAACTGTGGTTAACGTGTAAACATACGAAAGCAATTTTAAGTTGTTTTAAAGAACCGATACCTTAGCTAATACTAAAAGGACAGTTTGTGGTCCGTTTTCACCAGCAAAACGGAACAAAGAAGTCACGTTTCGTGCCTGCGTGACAGACTCGTACTCTGGAATCATTAGTTAAGATTGTTTGTCGTATGTATCATGCTTCCAATCATGTCTGGAACCATATCTGACTATCGAGTCATGTAACTGGAATGTGAAAGCACCCAGCTTGACGACAAAGAGCGTGTAAAAGAGATTCAGAACACACAGAGATTCTTCACGCGTAAGTCTATAGTCTCATGGTTGCTTTTTAAAATGACAATAAAGTGACATCGACATAGAAGTTTTTTGTACGAATAAGCTGGACTTTTTTGACGATTCATTGAGGACTGGACTGTGTCGAGGACTGCAGCAGACAACAAAAGTTTTTAAAGCTATTCGAGGGATAAGGTGAAAAGGGCAATTTTTTTTCTTCCAAGAAGGCGCTGTAACGAATCCTGAGGTCTGATCGCGCAAGTTTTTTCGAGCGTCTGTCCAACGTAACGCTGTCGTGACTTTTTTGTTTGCATCCAGTTGGCTGCAAAAGTATATTTAGTTTCATTAGAAAAGATGGTTGAAACCAGTGTAAGAGAGAGATAGAGGGGGAAAAAGCATCCTCTCACGCTACTAAACAAGCATTAGCCCATGTTATATCACTAATTTTCAGGACCTAGAAAAATGTGGAGAAGAAACCCAAGAAAGCTATTTGAGGCATCAGATCACTTGTTTAATCATAATTCCAAGGTACCCTTTCCTTCCTCATATGAACAGATCTACACTAGTAAACAAGACGGGAAAGAGTAATTAGTTTAGATCCAAACTAAATGAATGTACTATCTACAGGATTGTGAGAACTGTGAAACTTCGTTAAATTTACACTCTTGTTCGTCGTCATTAAGAAGAAAAAGTTTTGAAAAATAAATTGGAAACACTATATTTTGAACTTTAGGTGATAGCAAATACCGAAATGATCCTCGTAAGGTAAACTGCAGTAGAAGAAATTTCTGAGAAAAAAGTCTAAGAAAATCAGGCTTTGATGATGGTGTTAACCCATGACATGCTATAAGTACCTGATTTTCGCGCCTCAAATTATGGGTTTGCAACTTCCAAACGATCAGAAACCAAAATTTAAGCAAAAACGTAAGTTGTTTCACAATAATCGCATGCAAGATCAAAATTAAATTGACCTTTTAGATGGCGGCACACCACACCAACGTCTTGATGATGCCCACAGTTGTGAAGTCCCCATCCTCCGTGACTGCACTGAGTTATCAATGTCTCGTTTCTGATACATTTAACGTTATCCAGCCATATCTGACCAGTTCCTTGTCCAAATGCTGCACCACCAGGTGCTAATAAAGCTCCTTCGTATCCAAGCTGTCGACAAACCACATCAGCGTCCTGTAAGTCCCACGAGTTGTCACAAATGGTTCCCCATGTACCATTATGGAGCACTTCAACACGACCAGAAGACAGTGAATTTCTAGGGTTCACCAAACGAACTGCCGATGGAGAGAGAGAGTGAAGGAATCGTATTTAATGTTTGTATGGTTCACAGTTATAAGTCGTTTTAGCTTAAGGTTTTATATACTCGATTCAAGGCGTTCATTATATATACTGTAAACTCCGCCCAGTATAACAGGAGGGAATCCACTAGTTATGCTTTTCTTAGAGAAATTATTTTGTATAAAGCGGGTAAATGTCTAAAGAAACTGTGGTGCTGCGTCGGTGGGAGAGTATAACACGGTAAGTTAGTATTATAAACTGAGTTGATAACTATATTGGCCACAGTAAAGAATTTAAAAGCTTAGCTTTTAGACTCTTTACGTTGGCCAATTTACGTTATAAACTCAGTTGATGATACTAAATTACCTAATTATTTTGTAACTGACCATATTATCTAAATGAAATGCCAACAAAATAGGAACCGGACACTTAAAAGTGGCGTAACCTAAGGTTACTCTTAAACGGATCTTAGTGTTGGTTTACTGCATATAGCATTACTTTTGACAAATTCACTTTGAGCGTGTATCGCCTTACCTTTGGGTCGGCACACAACGCCAACGTCTCTATAATGCCCACAGTTGTGCACATTCCATCCTCTGTGATAACAGTCCGATATCGCGATTTCATCTCCTACACACTGCACACCTTCAAGCCATATCTGGCCAGTTCCTCTTCCAAATGCTGCATTTCTAGGCGCTGATAATGCTCCATCGTATCCAAGCTGACGACAAACCACATTAGCATCCCGCAGGTCCCATGAATGATCACAAATGGTTCCCCAGGTACCCATGTGCAACACTTCAACACGACCAGAAGACGGTGAATTGTCGGGACTCACCAAACGAATAGCTGTTATCATAAGCATAGACGTTCATTAAGTAATGTCGAGCTGTTAAACAAAGATTTTCAATCTTGACATAAAATTGGAATTGTCTCACGAATCACTTAGTTGAGTAAAATTAAAGAGTGCCTCTTACAACCTTATAATGTTTTGTGATCATCAATGATCCTGCGAGGAATATAGGCTAAATGGAAACCAGGAACTAAACCCTTAACCTATGATTCTATTTGAATTTTAATATGGCCATTTCATAAATGGAAATCTCCAAGAATTTGAGAAAAACACCCCATGCCAGCACAAAAATAAAAAGGTTTGTGTTTCGTCCAAAAAAATGTCCCCTCGGAAGGATTTTTGGGGCGCAAACCACCTCCGCGTGGACAACGGTAGAAATCGGAGTGTGCAGCCTTGACTTCGGCTTATGACAGGAATAACAGTGGTGGCAAAGCAAGCTTAAAACGGCATAAATCGCTCGAAATTACAACAGACACACAAGATGTGCGTAAGTTTTATTGATTTTACGTGTAGAATGTGCATATTTCAAAAATATTTATCGTTGCAAATCGACCGTATTTAGTTCCTCATACTATTCCTCATAACGTGTTCGAATTCTCAACGGTTCCTCTCGTAACTTAACACCGAGTCACACAACGCGTGACGCTTTCATTAATTAATTAATTAATTTGGGCCACCTGTGGTTGAAAACAGAAAAAGAGTGACCCAGAGAGGGAAGGTACATGTGGCGTTGACAATTGATTGGCTGAGTGCAAGTAGACATATGCTGGGCTTAGAATGATTTAATTTCAACGTGCACGATTACTATAAAAGCTAAGTGGCTCTGTAGTTAGTAAAATAACGTTCCCACCTACTTTTGAACATAGTTACGTTCTCTCCCTGTTCAGGAGTAAAGCCAGCAGAAAGACTTTCGTATTGGAAAAAGACCCATTGACTCCCAATTTAAGCGAAAGGACAAAGGACTCAAGAAAATTACCAAAACATTTTGAAAAGCATGTCCATGATACTGTTTTTGCGAATAACAGTGGAGAACATCTCATTGACAAAGTTTAGTCTCAAGGTCACGAGTGCTGGTTTTTTCATTTAAGTGGTTGACGCCACTGCTAGTGGCGTCAATCACGCAATATGGGGTTGTTTTTACGTCAGGACCATTACTTAACCGAAGATGGATCACAAAAAATGCATAAGCAATATTCTCCTGAAAAATTGAACGGTAGAAGGCAAATGATGATATTTTGTGCGTGAATTGTCTCTTTACCTGCCGGTCTGCAAACTACGCCAGCGTCTTTAACATGCCCACAGTCGTGAACTCCCCATCCTTCGTGACCGCACTGTGTTATCAATGTCTCATTTCCTATACATTTAACGTTATCCAGCCATGTCTGGCCAATTCCTTGTCCAAATGTTGCATTGCTAGGTGCTAATAAAGCTCCATCGTATCCAAGTTGGCGACAAACCACACCAGCGTCCTGTAAGTCCCAAGAATTGCCACAAATGGTTCCCCATGTACCATTGTACCACACTTCCACACGACCAGAAGACGGTGAATTACTGGGGCTCACCAAACGAACTATGATTAGAAAAAGAGACAAGGTAGCTGACTTGACGAACTGTATTTAGTATTTATATGGTTCAACATAAATATTTGTCTATCTACATAGCTTCATGTAAAAGTTAGTAGTTCATGAAGTTAGTAAATTCAAAACAACATTTAAATTAATTAGGAATTCTTCAAATGCTTTTTCCAAAATTTGATTGGATCGTTTTCGAGGAAAGTAATTAAAGCAGAAAGCGGATCCTTTAAAATTCCCGTCTAGCAGGGTTAGCTTTGGTTCAATACAATTGAATCCAGTTCAAGAAAAAGCACTTCCAAGGAGCATTCGAGAGCAAGATAAAGAGCATTTTTTACTTTGAAGGGTCTACTTTGTAAGTGTCTCATCGCCTTACTTCTGGGTCGGCATAATACGCCAGCGGTATAATAATATGAACAGTCGTGATCTCCCCATCCTCTGTGAACACACTCTGATATCGATGACTCGTCTCCCCCACATTGCACTTCATCCAACCATATCTGACCTATTCTTGATCCAAATTCTGACGTACGTAATGCTGTTAAAGCTCCTTCAAATCCAAGCTGGCGACAAACTACAGCAGCGTCCTGTAAGTCCCAAGAGTCGCCACAAATGGTTCCCCACACACCTTTGTACAGCACTTCAACACGTCCAGAACTTGACGAATTGAAGGAATTAACCAGACGAACAGCTGTTATCACGTAAATACAAGTTAATCGGTTATCGTAGAACCAAGTAAAAATTTTGATCCTAAAAATTGGAAGTATTTACCCAACTAATCTTTCATTAAAGAAAGATGGAAATGTTTGCCAAAATTCTTTACCGTCAATCGTTAAGTTGAAACGATGGGTATTAAAGGATCCTACTCAACCACACAAAGCCTTTGTTTACAAACATGCAACTACGATGAAAATTGAACGCGCTCAGAATCCGTTTTTCGCAAGTTGAAAATAATCATAGGTATGGAGGTCAACATTGACGTTTTTGACACCCTTTGAGAGGTGTAAGTATCTAGCTCTTTCGGGCCATCCATTTTAACCGCTTTAAGACAGTGTCTCTGTAAGAGCGGTCCGGTCGATTCTGCTTGACACACGGATTTCGCTCGTTTCTCGTGTGTTGTAAGACATTCATGTACCTATACTAAAACCACAATCAGTTTGATCGGATCTCTTTATTTTTCAGAGTTTTACGGAAATTAAATTTCACTCGAGCGAAGGCTTGTCGTGACACTTTTCAAGACTTTAATTTCATACAACAATGGAGGACAATGGAATGGGTTTGTGACTTTCTCACTCAATTGAAAGACTCGCGTCACTCTTATGAAATGGTTGAACGGAATACAGACTTCGAGCAGTCTCATATTTTTCTTAAAGATAGTGAGGTCACGCGTATCCTGTGAGCATGGAGAAGCCGCGAGACGCGAGACTCGTACAAAAGTCGCGTCTTTGCCGCTCCACGCTCTCAGAGTTGGGCAAGGACAAGACACGTTATTTCCGGTGCGATACAATAGGTTCAATGGTTATCTCGATTATCTAACCACATTTATTTACGTGGTAAAGATTTGTTTTTAAATCTATGAACTGATGCTAGTCCTATTTGGAACGAAATGTATTTGAAATAAAAAAGAATACTAAGTAAAATAAAAGTTGTCTGCGACACGAAGCATGCCTTCGCATTAAGACTGAGAGTCCTAATGTTTATCATGATACTTTAATGCATATGTTCGAATGTTCCCAATCATCTTCTGATAATCTGCCCGCACCCACCCCCCCCTCACCCCGCCCCTCGCCACGGAACCGTACTGTTTTCACTCAGCAGCTGGTCAGCGGTCACGTTTATGAGGTAAACAAACCGATCGATCTTGTCGATCGGAAAATCAAAATACCAGCGTGATATTGCCGCGAAGATGAAGCAGTTATGTTATTTGATTCGTACTTCACATTCGAGTCGAAGCTTGGGTGGCAGAGGTTATTTCTTGCGGTGGAATCGACGAGGGGAATTCAGAAAGTTGTAATGTTTGAATTGTTGGAATAAATTTTGCCGCTTGAATTGAAAGTAAAGTTCATTTGAATTGCTTTCGTATGTATTTCTGACGGTTTTAGATCTATCTGCTTGATTTATATCGGTTACGCTTCATGTTGACAATTCCCTCAAAATAGCGGCCAAACTTGGAGATTAGGAAAGTTCACGGAGTTATAAAGTTCTCGTAAAGATCGGGCCACAAAGTTTTTTTCTGTAGTTATCTTTTCTATGGCACCTTCTTCCTAGCTATGTTAGTTGGATCAGTTAAGAACGCCTCACTTTTTCAAAAATTTACCTTGAATTTGATCGGTTTTGGCGTATTTGATTTAGGCGAACCGATAAGGGGTCATTCAAGCCTCCCTGTTTCCTTGATTGACCCGTGATGTTTACGAAAGTCGCCTCGATAGATAAGATAGAGTTAATATGCATGGCTGTGGTATTTGTTTTTTGCTGAGTTCCGTAGTTTTTTGTAAATTGTCCTCCATTGTTGTATGAAATTAAAGTCTTGAAAAGTGTCACGACAAGCCTTCGCTCGAGTGAAATTTAATTTCCGTAAAACTCTGAAAAATAAAGAGATCCGATCAAACTGATTGTGGTTTTAGTATAGGTACATGAATGTCTTACAACACACGAGAAACGAGCGAAATCCGTGTCTCAAGCAAAATCGACCGGACCGCTCTTACAGAGACACTCTCTTAATTGCTCTAAGTGGAAGACCTAAATTTTTTCAAAAAATATTACAACCAAACTTAAACTCAATCTCAAATTTATCTGTCAATTCTGGAAAAAGCCTCAATTACATCCAGCCATTGCCTGCACTGAAGAATGAAAAATCTAACTTCGATGATTGTCGCCCAAAATTTAGAGAAAGAAGTTAAGTCACCATAGTGAATTTTGAAGGGCCGGTGTTTTCAGCTCTTAAGTTACACAAGAGGTAAGAATTATTGATATGGCAATAGATAATGATCGCGAGTCGTTGCTTTACCTGAAGGTCGGCAAACCACACCAGCGTCTTCATTATGTCCACAGCTGTGAACTCCCCATCCACCGTGATTGCACTGCACTATGTCTTTCTCATTTCCTCCACAGTTAACATCAACCAGCCATATCTGGCCAATTCCTTGTCCAAATGCTGCATTACCGGGAGCGGATAAAGCTCCATCGAATCCAAGCTGATGACAAACGACTGCAGCGTCTTGTAAGTCCCATGAGTCGTCACAAATGGTTCCCCATGTATCATTGAACCACACCTCAACACGACCAGAAGACCGCATTTTGCTTGGGCTCACTAAACGAACTGTTATTAATATGTTGATATAAGTTAGCTTGTTTTATATTGCACAGTTTTCTAAACCATATGTTTTGCAGAAGTTTTCGCAAATGTTAAGGATTTTTGCTTTTGACCTTATACGTCGCACGTGTGTGCACTAAGCAAAGTAAATATGGCGGACGGTAGCTCAACTGAAAGCAGTTCTACTTCTGGATCCGATTATTCCGATTTTTAGGCCTTTATGGAGGGTGAAGATAATGAAAGAATTTATGAACCTATTGTTGAAATTAGGCCCTGGCGATTTGTACCGCCAGGACGAACCGAGAATTCAGGGCGAGAGTTGGAAGAGAATCAAGAGCCCGTGCGCCGCGGCCGCCTCAATCAGGAAAGTGACGAATGGTGAGTACAGTACGTTTTCAAATATAGTGTCTGAAAACCAGTCGTTTATTAAACATAGAAGCGATCAGGTAAATAAAAACCAAGTGTGCAGACTCTTGAGTAGCTTAGAAGCGAAGTGATTTATGGTACATGCAGGCACCTTCCGAAGCTTAGGTTTCACAGACTGAAAATAACACGCTTGTGGAGGTGAATTGGATGGATTATACACGTTTCCACGCGATTGAATCGGTTTTAAGTTTTCCTGCGTTGAATTTGGCGAACGATTATAGATTTCTAGACTTTTACTTTTAAACACGATGCAGCGAAAAATAGCATTTGCACATGTACAATTGAACAAAGTCTTCATAATAACTTATTGTTGACTTGTGATCTTTGCACCTTGTTTATAGCCTAAAGTTTGAGTTGTCTTTCACGTTTGTGATAGTCACAGGCCTGACAATTGTCCCTTTTTGGTGAAAACAACAAGTTGTGCTCTCTATTTCTCCTATTCAACATCGTGAAAAATTCGTTACTTTACTGATTATTTATTACAAGGCGTCAGTGTGGAAACTGCCAAGCGATGGAAAGGGAGGAAGAGAGCATCTATTGCCAAGAAGTAGATGCAGTCAGGAATAAAATTTTGGAAGATGTCATGGAGGAACGGTTGCAGGAAGAACCCAGATGTATTGTGCAGCATCCAGGGTTTGAGGCAGTGTGCCTCAATGTCTGGGCTCTGCAGACAGCTTGGCTACAATACAAGCAGCAGTATGGCTCTTCTGCTTATGAGGGGCCTGAGCATAAGAAAAACCGCCACATTGCTTACAGGCAACTAGTCAGGTGGTGTTGGGGTACTCTGGGCAAAATATCCGGGTCCCTTTGCCTTCTTGTGCTGTGAATTGCATACGTGCCCACATCCCAGAGCCCAACCAGCTGGAGGAGGACATGGTTTTTACCGGTTTTACTTATGCAGATGAGTAAACTTTAGTGCAAGGGTTAAATTTATCTTTTCTTTCCTTTTGTTATGCCATTAGCATTTTTCTCCAAAAAAAAAGTTTTTATCATACATCTACATGTATTCTTGTGGTTGAATCCTCTTCTTGAAGAAACCTTTACTTATGTCACTAGGAGATAACTTTTGTTAGCATTTCTTGTGTCTGGTAGTTCATCCAGGGCTGCTTCACAAGTGCTTGTCGATGATGTAGCAACTGATACATTATATTTACTGATGCGATCAAACTCGACCATCAACTGTTTTTTTTCAAAAATACATTACTACTTTAATGGCCAAAGCAACTAATTTACATACATAAACTGATACCAGGTCTACAAAAGCAAAGATAAGCAAAAGCGAGAAATGTCTTTCTCATACCCTGTTTGCTGTTAGTTTTGATAAGGACCGGCTTTGTGGTTTTTGTGTAGTGTAAGTCTCCTTTGTGACCACGGAGCTCGAGTCTTCTACCCTTAATTTTTCGTTAGACAGTGAGAGTTTTCTTTTTATTCTTCGAGTTTCGTTTATTTGCTCAGGAGTAGGAACTTCTTTAATACCAGCTTAAAGCTAAATCCAGCTAGAAAAAGTTGTGGTTTTTCATCGTGGTGAATAACAATAAAAGCGTTTCGAAAAAAAAAACAACTAATCATAGCAGAGCGTCATACTTTATAAGATCACGCATGACCAGTCGACCTCATCGCCTGAAGAAGACTGGCAGTATGCAGTCGAAACGTCGCGATCTACATCACACTTGACTACATCGTGAGACACACGAAAAACTTAGCTTTTGTTTTTAAATCCAGCAACTTTTGCACCAAATCCTTGGTAGTCGTTAGCTGAGTATAGGACTCGATAATGGTTAAGAGGAAAAAATTGTAGGATTATATATTTTTTACAGCTATTTGGAATAGCGTGCAATTCACTTGTGGCTCTGAATACAGACATGCAATCCCTCGCGTTTCGATTATTCAACCTTCATTATTTTATTTCTCACTTCGTATTTGATAGTCTCTAAATGGTGGCCTATAACAGAATGGAACAAATCTCTTCATTTTTTCCACTCGTAAATTTCGGCAGCAGCCGGACAGCGAGGGCGAAGTTGTTACTTTCAGGTCTTACTTGACTCTTTTCACTGCCTTACACACGTGTGACGTATCACATCATGTGACCTAAAATCGGAACGTTTTCAAAATGGCCGTCGATTGAGCGTCAAAAAAAATTCGTAGAAAATTTGGTTTTGCGCAATATTTCGTTAAATTGCTCATTTAGGATTCTTTAACGTAAGAGGAATGTAAAAAAAAAAAAAAGAAAAAAATTGGCGTCAGTAACCCTTTGAGCGTCATCGAAACGTAAAGGGACGGGTACGATAAGAATCCAGTCTAGTCCAATAAAGGTAAGTTTAGTTTACTTATTCAATCTTTATTTAATGGCTAATGCAATCCGTTTTCGATGGCTTATTTGAGAATTCATTGGTAACTGCGCTAAGCAAATCTGTCAGCTGAACTCCACCCTGCCACTGATATGATGTGCTCCCGTTGTTTACTTCCCTCATATTGATAGCAGTGTGTTGGCCAATTTTAAGGCCAAACTTACTGAGTTTGATAGCGAAGCACATTCCAATTTCTTTGGTTAGCAAAAAGAGTTTGCGTTCTATGATTAATGCTCACCAAATTTGTCCGAGTATATTTCACTGATATGAAATATTTGTTAAATTGGTCTCGAATTCACGTTAAGTAAAGAACGTGTGAAAAGAAACTAGAACATTCGTCAAATCAGATATTAGCATAAATTGAAGAAAAAGGAGTTAAGAGATTTGTGAACGGTTGAGGTAGGACAAAAAAAAGAGGAGGAAGTAATTCAAATCTTCTCAGAATTTGGGTTTTACGGAAGTATTGGTTCTACCTCGGAAAAGCGAATTGTATAGCTTGACCATGGTTATTGGCATAACTATGCTTTTTGGTGTTCTACCCAAATCGCACACATTTGAGGCAATGGTTTGTGTCATAAAACATTCAACCAGTTACAATTCATCTCGAGTGAAACATACTCGGGTTGTGTTGAAGACGCTTGCGATATGATAATTTTGCTTCCAGATCAGGAAACTAAGAGGACAATCGCTGAAATCGAAATTCATTGTAGTGAAGTGCCAGAGCTATGTTCGCGTATTGAAACGGATTTTTGCATTGTACTCACAAGTATGTAGGTAACCACTTGGTCAGAATACAAATAGATGTCGGTTATAGTAAGAGAGCGGTTTTATTTTATGTAATCAGCTTAAGATTCATGAGACACTTTTTTTTTTAATTTCTTGGATATTTACTCTTGAATTAATAGTATTAAATCTTCAAAATGTCTTAACTGATTAGGATAGATCTTTTTATATCTGCACTGAAAATAAAGCACAAAAGAATCTCTTTTTTTCGCTTTTGGGAAACCATGCATTATTCCGACACTTGATAATTTGCCGCTTTTTCGCAGATATGAAAAATACGGCTAATTTATGTCAACTCTTGAACCTGTTTTATAAAAATTAAGGATCTCCAACCAGCCATAGGTCATGCAGTGACTGCCAGCGTCGAATAGATAAGACGTTTGTCTGTGTTGTAATAATAGTCAGCTTTTTTACGTCGGGGGTCTAACTCCCTGTTTGCGTTACAATGAAAAGTGCAACATTTGAGTGTAGTAAAAAAATCCTTTCTGATAGGTTGCGACGATATATGATTCAGGAGTTTCTCAATCATTTATTTGTCATCGCATCGATAACGTTGAAGATAAGCCTTTTGCATCATTGGACCTAAAAGGTTAATTTTTTTCTTATAGTAATTTGGTTAGAGTCTCGCGGTTTTCTGCTCCGTTATACTTATTCAATTCCACCTGGTTTCTTTTCAAAGCCTCCTTCCATCATGGGATTAACCATATTAGCTAACTCTTCAAGAGGTTTCCATGTTTGACTTCGATATGCTCGTAAGAGCTATTCCAAACACTTTTAAAAGCTTTTATCTCGTGTGTCGACATCAGGTCGGCCTTTGGAAATTATTGCAAACTAACGCGTAACAGCAATAGCGTGGCAATTTCCCGCTTGAGTGTTGATTAAGCGTCTGTTCACTTTCAATGGGGGGCTACTTCGCTCGCACTGACGAAACACAATTTTACGTGACTCTTCAGTACGGTGATGGAATATCGTTGCACATAACTAGATATTTCTTAGCGTGTAAACAAAATGGGTACCACAGAATTAGGTATGCCTGTTAAAAGAAGTAGTGATATAAATTTTTTTTGCATAGGGTTACTGCAAATGGTTTCTACACATAACACGGAAGGAGCAATTAAAAAAAAATGGGCAACGAGGTAGGTGGAGGAATTCTGTTCAAAGACCTTCTATTTGCTCCTTGCCCACACCACGAGAGTAAAAAGAACCTCAGCTTGCGCGTCGCGCTTCCTCGCCTATTTAAAAGAAAAAAAGACTATGAAAGAAGTTTGATATGTGGTGTTTACCATTATCATCCTCTTACCCGAGGGTCGGCAAACTACACCGGCGTCATCAATGCTCCGACAGTAAATGTCGTGAACTCCCCATCCTAAGTGATTGCAGTGTGATATTAATGTCTCATTCCCCACACATTGCACGTCATCCAACCATATCTGGCCTGTTCCTTGTCCAAATACTGCGCTACGAAATGCTGCTAAAGCTCCATTGTATCCAAGCTGGTGACAAACTACATTAGCGTCATTTAAGTCCCATGAATCGTCACATATGGTTCCCCATATACCTTTGTATTGCACTTCAACCCGACCGGAATGTGACGAATTGTAGGAATTAACCAGACGGACAGCTGTTTAAGTGGAATAAGAAGGCAATCAGTTGTCGTGATACCTCAGTATTACACTGAGCATTCTGTACTGCACTTAAAAACTAAGTAACCGGCAAATAAGCGCGCGCTCATTCCAATAACATGATATTGTAATCAATCAAAGGACAAGGTAAACAGGTACGATGGTCTTTTACTCTTGAATGAGTACGATTACCTTTATGTTTCATTGCATAATTTTGTTTTATTAAAATATTCCTTGAAATTGGAGAAATAAAGAATTCATCGGAGGGGAAAAAAGAGCGTGCACGACGCCCGTAACTCGGGGATGCAAATTATGACCTTGAGAACAACGACTCAAGGAAAGTTTTCATTCAATGTCATTTAAAATTGCATGATTTTTCCACAAATTATATATCAAATTGTTTAATACGCTTTAGAAATTCTACCTAACAAGTCTTTTTTAAACATTACTTTAAAAAACCCTTTCCTCCAGCTACCGCAAAATGTACCGTGAGCCGGTGAAATGACGCTCGTAATTGGTGCCATTAAAGTCATAAATGGGGTAAGTTTGGCCCATCATATCTCTTTAAAAAGCATGGTGAACTATCTTTTGATTTATTGCCGGTATCAACGGTATTTTTTAGAGACAGACACTGGTAGGGAACTTTTGAGAACTTTTTTCTTTTGAGGAATCACCTTAAGAAAAATATCAATTTACTCGGAGGAATCAACTCATATTATCAAGGAAAAGTACGAGCCTTAAAATGTTGCACTGGGAGATGTTTGTGTCGTGAAATTATTAAGATCTGTAAGCCTACGAATCACAAAGCTCTTTTATGGAAGTGAGCCAGAGGGCTGCCCCCCACAATGTGCTAATGTGCCCAAACTCATCTGAACACTTTTTTCCTGTTGGATCAGGAATAAGCAGAGAAAGTGCAGAAGAATGGGATTACCGGCTGACAAACTCTATCGACTAGATTGTTACGTTGTTTCTATTCGGTACGCCTCATTTGTGCCATGTCGAGACAGCTACTTGTGGCATCAACGTCTCGGACATGCGTAAGGAACACACCTCAAGAAATGTGTTCGTAGTTATTCGGTAGAAGGAATACATGTCAAGATAATGACTGAAATTTAACTCCAGAAGGGACAGCCGATTTTCATGAAGACAACTCAGGGGCTAAAAGAAAAGCAAGGACCAAGCACATCAATGTGTTTTGAATGGCTGATGTCCAAATTTTGCCATTTCCTGGATGGCTTTGGGTGAAGACAACACTTCAGCGCAAAAACTTTCGACCGCTTAAAATTTTTTCCGGTACTGTCTGTTTGCAGCTTAAGAATTCGAAACACGAAAGTGCATAGAGCTTTTGGTTGCAACATCAAGAAAGGAACGAATGAAAATGCCGTTTTGCAGCTTTCCGAACGCACAAGGAACTAAATCTTTTGTTGCTTCTACCAGCCAGTTCAGTTCTACTTGGTTTGGTAACTATACTCTGTCGTTTTGGCATATTAATTAAACTTTTGTATGGATATGAACCACAGCCAGGAGTCGATGGGCTAAAAAAAAAAAAACTCAGCATACAAATAACAAACATTATACATAATGGAAACGTGCTCCATATGGCATCCCTAGTTTTCTAGGTTTATATCAATAAAATCACTCGTTCTGGTTGGACAAAACACGTGAAATCTCTATACTTTGACAACTTTAAAGTATTTTCAGTATACGTTAGCATTTATCTCTGAGGAGGCAATAGATATACAATGAATCATGACATAGTGTGCTGATGTCTTCACTTTACCTGCTGTTCGGCACACCACACCAGTGTCTTCACTATGTCCACAGTTGTGAACTCCCCATCCCCCGTGGCGACATTCTGATATTGAGGTCTCATCTCCGACACACCTAACGTCATCCAGCCATATCTGACCTGTTCCTTGTCCAAATTCTGCCCCTCTTGACGCTGTTAAAGCTCCTTCGTATCCAAGCTGACGACAAACTACATCAGCGTCATGTAAGTCCCATGAGTGGTCACAAATGGTTCCCCATGTACCATTGAACAGCACTTCAACACGACCAGAAGACGGCCAATCGGCGGAACCCACCAAACGCACTGTTGTCGATATGAGAATATAGTTATACGTGGGCTATTCAGCTGGTTTGCCAGCTGTTTTTAGCGAAAATCAGCGGTCCTTTTAGGTTTTCCTTATCGCTGTAACCTCTGACAACTTTCTTTGCAGGAAATTATAAAAAAAAACTAACTAATACACGATTTTATTTAATACAAGATTTTTAGGTATGATTGGGCACGTGGTCTACTCCCCTTGGAAGTTGAAATATTTCTTGTTAGAGCATGAAATCAAGCACTTTTACGAGGACCTGGGAGTATGGGAATTCAACCTAGTTGGTCTTCTATAGTAGGGGTTCGTCAAAAGACCTCGTTCGCTTGTGGAGATGATACTTAGCCAGTTACCTGTAAGGTCACAAGCTCTATGGGCAAAAGGGGAAAGCCCTTTTAAAAATGCTCTTTAAAAGTGATCTTCATTTACAAATTTGCTTACCTCGATAATGTTATATATGAGTGTATCACCACCCTACCTGCAGGTCGACAAACTACGCCAGCATCATCATAGTGATTACAGTTATGGACACCCCATCCACTGTGATGACAGTCCGATATCGAAATCTCCATTCCTACACAGTTTATGTCATCCAGCCATATCGGACCATTTCCTTGTCCAAATGATACATCACGAGGTGCTGATAAAGCTCCATCGAATCCAAGCTGGTGGCAAACTACTTCAGCGTCCTGTATGTCCCATGAGTGGTCACAAATGGTTCCCCATGTACCACTGTATTGTACCTCAACACGACCAGAAGATGTGTGATTGAAAGAGTTCACTAAGCGAAAAGCTGTTTCGGTGGAATAAGAACGCAAAGAGTCTTAGATTCATGCAGTAAATAAACAAAAACGTCTGAAGAAGCTTTCTTAGATGGTAACCATAATTTCCCTTTTTACATGCTTTTGATAAACAAAATAAACAAATTAGGAACCGCATGCATCAAACCGCTTGAAACCAAAGGACTAAATTGAGTTTTTACAAAAGTCACGTTCCCGACATCAAGTGTTCCAGAGTCTAAAAAACTTACTCATATCACTGACACAAAAAACACCAGTGTTTGTTTGGTTTAAAATCGTTCATCAGCATTTCCGAAGTTTTAGAAAACAATGAACATGAAATCACAATTAGCGCTTATCCCTATCAATCATCCTGTCATGGTGAAAAGATCGCGGTTGTCTGCCGTAATGGAGTGAAGCGTGATACTCTGATAGACGGGGACGATTAGGATATTTATCCGTCAATAATGATAATACTGAGCAGGTGAGATGCTGCTCTATTTTGTTGTAAAGAACCAGGAAAAGAACTAAAGTGCGACGGAGGTTTAGGATAAACAAGAGACCCAGTCAAGGGATTCTTCCAATTGTTGGGAAAGTGGCTTCGGCTTTAAAAAACGGCTATGGCGTAATTATTTAAAAGTACGAACCGGAGGCCCTTAACCAATCTCATGAGGAGTTTTACGCAACATTTCGTCAGTAGGGGGGGAAATATTAAAAGCTTGATATCCTCTGTGTTATGTAACCTCCATTGGGCAATACCAAACAGAGAAAAAGCACAACGCTTAATTATTGGTGTCAGAGAGTTTTAAAGCATAAGCAAGTTTAAAACAACTACCCCAACAACAAGGCAAAGGGAAGCGGCCGAACAAGGGAAGAAGTCTGTCGACCGAGGAAAATGAGCTTGGTGAGAAAAAAAGAAGCTGGGAAAGGTCGACAGAAACAGCATACCATGACGTTTGAAGACTCTTCCTTTGGTTTGAATGAAAAAAAATTGAATGGAATACGTCGCATTTACAGAGAACCCTACAAAAACACGCCAGCCCGGATTGCCCTTAAGATGAAGGGAGCCCGTTTGTAATCTCCAATGAGTTTTTATAGCATAGTCCCCCCTAGAATGCGTAAAAACCGGTCCCCTTTATCTTGTGGGTCAAATCAGTCTTTGCAAGTTTGGTGCAAGAGGTAGCCGATGGGAGTAAAGAAAATCAAAGGCGTGCATGATGATAAGAATGTAGCACCGGGAGATGGTCGTGTCTTAAAAGCATTAGGATCTATAAACCTAAAAATCACTGTGCCATTTAATGATAGTTAGCCAAAAGGGCTGCTCTCCATAATGTGCTAAAATGCCCAAACTCTCTTGTAACCTGTTGTCTGTATCAAAAGATGCCGGGGAAACAACGTATAATTTAGCCCCATTGAATTTTGAATCAGGGATGAGTAGAGAAAGTTTTGCAGAATTGGATTACCGGCTGACAAAGTATATCCGACTAGATTATTGAGTTTGTAACATCGGCTACGGCTCACTTTTGTCATCTCGAGAAGGAACACACCTCAAGAAATTTGTTCAGAGTAAGTCGGTAGAAATAATTAATGTCTTAGAAAATGACTGAACTATACCTGCAGAGGGGACAACCGTGTCTCGTGAAGACAACTAAGAGGCTCATGAAACGGCAAAAATTCTGTGGGTCAAGCTAAGACCAAGCACATCAATATATGATACCACTTCGAATCTTAAACGGAGCTAATGTTTTAAAAAATGTCGCTCAACGTTTCACACTACGCCGGTTAAATTCTGGACCTTAACGGCTGAAACTTCGTCTCCATTTGTGGAACTAAAATTTTTTGAATGGCTGATGTCTAAATTTTGCCATGAGCTAGATGGCTTTGGGTGAGTAGAATTCTTCAGCGCAAAAACGTTCGACCGCTTAAAAATTACTACCGATTATGTCTGTTTGCAGCTTCAGAATTCTAAACACAAGGGTGCCTAAAGGTTTTCGTTGTGAAATCAAGAAAGGAACAAATCAAACATGAAAAATGCCATTTTGCATGTTTTCGAACACGCAGAAAAAGAAATCTTTTGTTGCTTCTACCAACCATTTTGGCCCTACTTGGAGTAACGCTTTATGTTTCGACAATCTCCTCTGTCGTTTTGGTATATTGATTAAACTTTTGTATAGATATGAACCACAGTCACGGGCTAAAATAGACTCAACATACAAATAACAATCATGATAAACAGTGGAAACTCCATACGATATCATCACTCTTCTTAGTTTGTATCAATAAAACCACTCGTTCCGGCTGGAAAAAAACACGCTAAATCCCTATATACTTTGACAACTTTAAAGTATTCTCCATGTACGGTAGCATTTATCGGAGGCAATAGATATACAATGAATCATGACATAGTGCGCTGATATCTTCACTTTACCTGCGGTTCGGCACACCACACCAGCGTCTTCACTATGTCCACAGTTGTGAACTCCCCATCCCCCGTGGCTACAATCTGATATCGAGGTCTCATCTCCGACACACTTAACATCATCCAGCCATATCTGACCTGTTCCTTGTCCAAATTCTGCCCTTCTTGACGCTGTTGAAGCCCCTTCGTATCCAAGCTGACGACAAACGACATTGGCGCCATGTAAGTCCCACGAGTGGTCACAAATGGTTCCCCATGTGCCATTGAACAGCACTTCAACACGACCAGAAGACGGCCAATTGGCGGAACCCACCAAACGCACTGTTGTCGATATAAGGATACAATAGTACGTAGGCTACTTAACTGTGTTGCGAACTGTTTTAGGGTAAACTAGCTGCAGATCGTACCATGCTTGGTTGAAGGCACCAAGAAATCTAGATGTGTCGTTTTAGTTCTTCTTTAACGCTTTAGCCTCCGACAACTTTCTTTAGGGGAAATTAAATACGAACTATATAGTACACGAATTGTACCATATAGTCAGTACTTAATTTCCTTTATAATAAAGTTCGGATATAACGCACGCTGTCATTGGCTGAAAGAACGTGCTCTATGAGAGTATAGAGCATAGAGCTGAGCTAAAGCTGTCACGCCATCTGCCAAATTGTACTATGTTCGACCTTTTTCGGGACTTCTTTTTAGCCTTTTTCCGATAATTGAAAGTGAAATTTCGGAACAAGCGAGCGGGCAAGTAGCAACAGAAGAACCAAACAAAGGTTTGTAAACATACCAGGCGCCGTGATTTACGTTATTAAAACGTGAGCAGATACGAAAATCCTCACAGGAAAAACAAAATAGACATTCCGAGTTTAAAAGATTTTCACGCTCAGTTAGATTGCAAGCTTACGTACGGTAATATAATTCAAACACAGCTAACACTAGTATAGTATATAAAGTTCAGTGTTCAAAAACAAAACAGAACAAAACAGAAATGATGAAAAATATAACCAAACTGGCATAACTGTTAAAATTCATACTAATCATGACGGTGTCTGAGCGAATATGATCATGCCGAAGTCCATCGCGGCTCGGTCATCATGGCGATCTCCGGTTATCACAGTAAAGCAAGCCTCAGAAACTACATCGGCCGCCCTTCGAGTGAAAAAATAAGAGCTTGCTCTTATATCCTTTCCGATTAATTGAGTGGAAAGTCACATCAGTCACTGCAGCCGAGTTTTGCGGAGCTGTCATCCCGAGCGATCTTCATGTTCCAGTGAATTCGGCTTTCATTCATTCAAAAAACACTCACCTTGAACAGCTTTTTTTCTACCTTGTCATGTGAAAAAACTCGCGTGTTTTTATGAGCCATAAAATCCGATTCTGTATTAGAGACTTAAAAACTTCAGGCAAAAGTGTTAAATTCGACCTGCCGAACTATTTCAGTTTGTAAACTATCGCAGAATGTGAACTTTGATGGTTTTTTAACTTTGATGGTTTGACACTTTTGACCGCTCTAGTCTTGTACAGCCAATCAGATTATTTTAACCATTCTAACAGGGATTCTGATTGGCTTATTGTAGCGTGCATTATGAGAGTATAGAGCATGCTGACGACACTGTTGTTCGCTTTGGAAATAAAGTTTGTTTTGAAAATTGAAAGTAATGCTGAGAGAATTTAATGGATTCTTTATTATGAAACAAATAGAGAAGCCTTGACTGTGCTCTGTTCTGTTATAAAGCATGCAGGAAGCGGCTAGAGCACGAAAGAAGTGTAGGGAGAAACACGAGACGTAGTCGAGTGTTTCTCCCCACTCCCCACTCCCCACTCCCCACGCTTCCTGCGTGCTTTATAACAGAACAGAGCACAGTCAAGGCTTCTCTATTTGTTAACTAAAGAATACGATTTGTAGGCATGAGTGGGAATGTGTGTCAACTCCCCTTGGAAGATTAAACGCTTTTTGTTAGATCATAAAATCAAACATTTTCTCGAGGATCTTACAAATGAATAACAACGAGCCTAATGCTGCCGATCAAATGATGATCAGTGAAGAAAATTGGAAAAAAAAGGAAATGAGTAATTAGAGGAACTCCTCAAAGTAACTGTTGTCAATGTAGAAATTCAAACTAGTTTTCCTTGCTTCGTAGGGGTTCGTCAAGAGACCTTTAAGAGGCCGTGACTGTAAATATCGAGAATCGTTGGCCAGGCTTAAAAAATCGAAAATTATGATAATTTGCCTGGAAAACCCTTTTAGGGAGATATATTCAAAAGAATTATTTCAAAGTTTAAAAAATCAAATGTGTCCAAGGAAATGGGTAAAAACGAAAATTCGGGTTTTTACCTAATTAATTATGCAAAAAATATAGTAAAATTGACCAATTTTAGCGTGCTAGTACTGAACGAAGATGTTTCGTAAGAAATCGGGGGTGTTTTTACTTCAAAGTATAATTCATTTGATTTTTATTTGTAGTATTTTAAGGAGCTTTAGTTCAATTTTAAAATTCACAGGTTTTTTTAACAAAGTGCTGTCAAACGCTTGTTGCAAAAAGCGAAAAATCGAGCAACTTCAAGCCTTCAAAACGCGTCTTGGTATGTGTGACATCATGTCAAACTACATGCTGGCACAAAGTTTGGTCCTTAAACTAAAATAATATGAAATAAAAAATCTGGGTAATTCAGAAACGTGCCGGCAAAACAGAAAGGTTTGCGATGCACTGTGGCCAGAGGTCACGAATTTGCATGATGCAAATCAGTTGTAGAAATCGTACCGCCTAACAGTTCTGGTGTAGGAAAGGCTCTTTTGACGGCTACAGCATAAAATTTACAAGAATAATGACCAGTATTTAACAGCGTTTAATTCATTTTTCAAGCCAGTGAGTTTTGTGTTTCATTTCTCGTAACTGTCTTGACGAAAAGCAAAATGTTTCAATTGCGTGACAATTGTCACGTTGGATCAAAGGTGAAGTTGCCGAGTAAAGCGGACACGATCCTTTTTTCGTCAAAACTCCATTCTAAAGCACCTTGTCCTATAGATCTAGTTTTATATTACTTGTATATATATCGAACAACATCCAGCCGGCCTGATCCTGTCTGACTGCCAAGTGCGGTTCGAAGGGGACTTTTTCATTTCTGGTTTGCGCTTTTAATACGGGGACCGCAGAGCTATAGGGTTGAGTGAGCTGTAGCCCCACCAGGAACAATTCAGTATCATCATTATTATTTATTTTAATCTTTGTATTAGGAAATTTGACAAATTTTTCTTAGGATTGAAACGCGTTTCCGGTGATTTCAGAAGCTCTAGATTCCAAAATTTACCGGGGGAGTATACCCTAGGACACCTTGTCAGCAGTCTTTCTGTACTAAGAAAGGCGTACTAAGAAACAGACAAAAGGAGGCTCTCCTCGGAGGGGAGGCCCCAGGACCCTCATAGATAAGTTGGTGCCAATGACCTCACACTACGGGGGAACTACAATAGCTCCTCCCATCCAAAATATGCTCTAAGGCCCCCGTTTTATATCAACGTTCATATAAAACTCAATTTTTTGAAGCAGCCTTTTGCCATTTGCCTTTTAAACTGCAATGCAAGAACAGCATCTCACAAGGTCTTCGAGCAGAGCGATTTAAGATGTCTTTTTTCTCTAATCAACCCCAGGTGGTAATGCAAGATTGAAACTCTCGCAAAGGAATTTTAAGATTGCAAGTTTGAAATTTTTGAGTATGTTATTCTCGACCATGGAACAAGTGTTGTACTGTTGGTAATGAATAGGGTGAGTTACATTTAACTGCTCAAAAATAGACTCCTTAGCATTTAACAAATTAAATTCTTCCTCCACAGCAACGAGATCTTGCTCAGTTACAGCTTGTGTGCAGGGAGCTGTCTGCTATTTCACTTTTGCTGTCATTCTGGAAAAAAAAATAAAGCAACTTATCGAGTTGTCAAAAACTCAAAGAAACTGAACAAGCGCTCCCCGTTCAATCCCTTTGCTCTTCTCATTTCTGTTGCAACAATTTCCGCGTCGACCTTCTTGCCGCTTTCTTGTCCGATGGTAAATCTAGCGGTCAGGTACTCTCGTTGCTTTTCGTTAAACCGGTAAACTTTCTATACTTGTTTTAAAGCGAAGCCTTCAGGCGGTGTTACATATCCAGTGCTACGAGGACAGGTTTCAGGAGGTAGGGGAATAGTTAGCACGGAACTTGAACCTTCCTCGAGCCTTGCAGCATATTTAACCTTCGCTTTATCAAGGAGTGTCTCCCTTTCAACCGTCTTTGTGCATGTTCCTAACGCGAGATGCTTTTCTAGAGAAGAGTGCCGTTGGAAACTGCGTGCAGCCCTCTTTTGGACGTGGAAACACTTGGTCCCTAGTACAGTCTTTCAATTCGACAAAGTCGGTCACGTTTGGATTTTCAGAACTTGCACCACAAGCCCCCCCAAGAAGAGAAGTAAAGCTACAAAATGACATCGTTTTCCGTTTATGCTCTATGAAAAACCTCGCGCGTGTTTACCTCTAAGAAAAAGACCGTGATTGTATCATAGAGAATTATCGCCTGGACTGCAACGCGATATAATTGCCACCGTGATATAAGTCCTTTTTATCAAGTTTTATGACAGAAATGTGGCCATTTTTCCGAAAAAGATAAGAGTAAATAGCATAAGTTGGGCTGTTATCTCGAGGTGAAAAACTACACAGCAGAAGCTTGCTGTGTTGCGTGACTTTGTTTACTCACATGACTTTTTCCAAGATATCTAAGATATTTCAAAGAAATATTATCGCAGTTGCAGAAAACGTAGCTATTCAACTAAGAATTATGTCGATAATAAACAGCTAGTCAACAATAATGGTGAACTATACGGTGGCCCTTATGTATAGTTAGGTGTAGGTAGTGCTGTTGAAATAGCGAGTCCACAATAACAGAGTCTTCTGCAATTCAAATTAACAGAAAATTTCGTATCCACACATCAATTTACAGCCCTCTTCAGCAATGTCTACGAATCTTTTACTCTATAATTTCATATCATTTCCATATCAAATAATTGTTTAACCATCTTTAACTATCTTGTTTTCTTCGTAGCTCTCAAGTACGATTTCTACAACTGATTTGCATAATGCAAATTCCTGACCTTGGCCATGGTGCCTTGCAAACTCTTTTATTTTGCCGGCAAATTTGTTATTTCATATTATTTTCGTATAAGGACCAACCTTTGTGCCAGCATGCAGTTTGACATGATTTCTCACATACCAAGACGCGTTTTGAAAGCTTGTAGTTGCTCGATTTTTCGCTTTTTGCAACAAGTGTTGCAAATCATTTAAATTTTAAAATTAAACCAAAGCTCCTAAAAAAACCACAAATAAAAATCAAATGAATTATACTTTGAAGTAAAAACACCCCCGATTTCTTACGAAACATCCTCGTTCAGTACTAGCACACTAAAGTTGGTCAATTTTACTGTATTTTTTGCATAATTAATTGGGTAAAAACCCGAATTTTCGTTTTTCCCCGTTCCCTCGGACGCATTTGATTTTTCAAACTTTGAAATAATTCTTTTGAATATATCTCCCTAAAAGGGTCTTCCAGGCAAATTATCAGAATTTTCGATTTTTTAGCCTTTGCCAGCGATTCTCGATATTTACAGTCATGAGCTCTTAAATTCTCTTTGACGAAATTAAGGAGATACTCAGCCAGTTAACTGTAAGCTCACAAGCATACCTGTAGGTCGGCAAACTACGCCAGCATCATCATGGTGACCACAGTTGTGGACGCCCCATCCACTGTGACGACAGTCCGATATCGAAATCTCCATTCCTACACAGTTCATGTCATCCAGCCATATCGGACCATTTCCTTGTCCAAATGATGCATCACGAGGTGCCGATAACGCTCCATCGAATCCAAGCTGGCGGCAAACTACTTCAGCGTCCCGTATGTCCCATGAGTGGTCACAAATGGTTCCCCATGTACCACTGTATCGTATCTCAACACGACCAGAAGATGAGTGATTGAAAGAGTTCACCAAGCGAACAGCTGTTTCGGCGGAATAAGAACGCAAAGAATCATAGATTCATGCAGTAGATAAACGGAAGCGTCTAAAAAAAAGCTTTATTAGATGTAAACCATAATTTCCCTTTTCACATGGTTCAGATAAACAAAATAAACAAATTAGGAACCGCATGCATCAAACCCGCTTGAAACCAAAGGACTAAATTGAGTTTTGACAAAAGTCACGTTCCCTACATCAAGTGTTTCAGAGTCTAAAAAACTTACCCATATCACTAACACAAAAAAAACCCGTGTTTGTTTGGTTTAAAATCCTTTAGCAGCATTTCCGAGGTTTTAGAATAAATCACAATTAGTGCCCATCAATTACCCAGTCATGGTAAAAAAGAGCGCGATTGTCTGTTGTGATGAAGTGAAGCACGATACCCTGATAGACGAGGAACGATAAGGATATCTATCTATTAATAGCAATGATACAGATCGCGAGAAATTTGGCTCTATTATGTCTTAAAGAACCAGGAAAGGAACTAGAGTGCGACGGAGGTTTAGGATAAACAATCAAGGGATTCTTCCAATTGTCGAGAAAGTGGCCTCAGCTTTAAAAAACAGCTATGGCGAAATAATTTTAAAGTACGAACCGGAAGCCCTCAACCAATTTCTTAAGGAGTTTTACGCAACAGTTCGTCAGTAAGAGTGAAATATTACAGGCCTGTTATCCTTCATGTAATGTTACCTTCGTTGAGCGATACCAAACAGAAAAAAAGCATAACGTTCAATTATGTATTGATGACAGAGAGTTTTTAAAAGCATAGGCAAGTTCAAAACAACTTCTCCAACAATAAGGCAAAGGGAAGCGGCCGAACAAGCTAGGGAAGAGGTCTGTCAATCGAGGGAAATAAGCTGAGTGAAAGAAGAAGCTGATAAAGGTCGACAGGAAGACCATACTATGACGTTTGGAGACTTTTCATTTGCATTGGATGCAAAAACCTGGAATATGTCGAATTTACAGAGAACCCGACAAAATCACGCCAGTCCAGACTGCCCTTAAAGCTTGAAGGCTTCTGCTCCAAATTACTTGCAACTGGAAATGAAGGAAGCCCAGTTGTAATCCTAAACGAGTTTCTATAGCGTATTCCTCCCAGAATGCGTAAAATCGTTCTCCTTTATCTGTCTTGTAGGTCAAATCCGTCCTTGCAAGTCTGCTAAAAGTGGCAGCCGATGAAAGTAAAGAAATTCAACGACGCGATGATTAGAATGTTGGACTGGAAGATAGTCGTGTCGTGAAAGCATTAAGATTTGGAAACCTACGAATCATTACGTACGTGCTAAACACACTTGCACCCTTTTTCTTCATGAGCTGAGTCTGCCAGCCCGTTAGGTAAAGGAAACAGCCTCACTTTGGTTGATAGTGGCATTAGAAGATCCAGCAAAACTTTTCTAACATGTTCTCACAGCGCCCTCAATGTGGGAAAAACTTCAACCAAACACCGTTTGTATTTCAGGTGCCAAGGTTTACATTGGCCAAAATGAGCAGTGTCAGTGTTTAATGAACATAAACCACCATTGCCACCAATGTCAAGTCATTTTCAACATGGAAAACTCAGCAGCTCCTAGAAAAGCTTCAATTTTTGAAACTGCCGGGTTACCGATCTCGTCTCGACCAGAATCCACCAGAAACCTAGAAAATTTGAGTTCCTAAAATAAACAGGTTTTAGCGTCTTTTCACTCTTCATTTGTCTTTAAATTCCAGAAAATAAAAACGCTCTAGAATAATTTATGCTTCCAGAAGTTGACCTTTATCGATAAAGAGGACATTTTTTATTTGTAAGCAAATGCTGGCGAGTTAATCAAAGGTTTTTTTGTTTTCAAGAAATAGCGTAAATGTTGGCGGAACCGGCTAGCCATGTCATGACGGAAATAAACACGGCCAAAGACGAAAACAGATTTGGTCTTTTGCATGTACATTATTAACAAGTAATCATATGACCCATCTAGTGCAATTCTGAATAAATTAACTCAAGAAAATGTTTAAAAGAGAACAGATTGCATCCGCACCTTTTGCTCGCGCAATTGGGTCAGCCCTTGGAAATTTTTTTTTGTTAATTTATCCCAAATTGCACTCGTCATGTGATTGTCCTTACAAATTGCCGCATTTCATTGATATATTTGAGAGCGAATTATAACAAAATGTGAACGTACCTGCAGGTCGGCACACCACACCAGCGTCATCCTTATGTCCACAGTTGTGAACTCCCCATCCTGCGTGATTGCACTGCGCTATTACTGTCTCATTTCCGTTACATTTAACGTCATCCAGCCATATCTGGCCAGTGCCTTGTCGAAATGCTGCTTCACCGGGTGCTGATAAAGCTCCATCGTATCCAAGCTGCCGACAAACTACTGTAGCGTCCTGTAAGTCCCATGAATAGTCACAAATGGTTCCCCATATACCATTGTGCAGCACTTCGACACGCCCGGACGATAGCGAAATACTAGGGCTTACCAGACGAACTGTTGATATGAGGATACAAGTTAGCTAAAATTCGCAACATAACTTGCCAACGCATTGAATGCACGTACCCACGATCAGTTAGTGTTGAGAAATGAAATTTAAGACCACCAGCAACTCGCTGAAAATACCTTCTTAGTCCATTGAGTCCATTAAGTGTTGCATAATCTCAGTAAAAAAAGTGGAAAACTGTTCAGATGGAGAGAGAAAGGGGATGTGGGGTCAGAGTTAGGGTATGAAGAGGAAAAAAGTATGTTAATCGAGAAGATTAAGATGTCAGCTATTTTTAGCAGATTTTACTAATACATTGTAATGATTCATCGAAAGAGCTCTGTTCTAAGAAGTTAACCGTTCATATAGAACTACACTGTTGAAAATTAGACTTATGATGCTCTCATCGAAATAAAAAAGAACCCATGGTAATAATTTTCAATGAGAAGTAATAGTTGTTCTTAACCACGTCTGTCTTACGGAGCATAAGCAGCATTGGATCTGAGCGTGTTCAGCAAGATTAGCTTGGTACAAGAGGCGTAATTTTCTTTTACACGGAAGGAGAAATTCAAAAGTGAGAGATAGCAGCGAGGTTGTTTTTATTCGATTAGTATTGTTACACTACCTTGTACGTGAATCGTATTTTTACCTGTAGGTCGGCATACTACTCCAGCGTCCTCACCATGCCAACAGTTGTGGACGCCCCATCCGCTGTGATAACAGTCTGATATCGAAATCTCCTTTCCTACACATTGAACGTCATCCAGCCATATCTGACCAGTTCCTTGTCCAAATGTTGCAGCATGGGGTGCTAGTAAAGATCCATCGTATCCGAGCTGTCGACAAACTACTTCAGCATCTTGCGTGTCCCATAAGTCGTCACAAATGGTTCCCCATGTACCGTTGTAAAGCACTTCAACACGACCCGAAGATGACGAGTAGTTGGGATTCACTAAACGAACTGTTGGTAGTTAAAATGTAAATTTACGTTAGCTACCCAAAAATTATATCCTCGCCAATTTTTTTCTGTTAATAGAACTAAGCAGGAAGTTATGGGGACCTTATCAACTTTTTTTTCTTTTAGAGATATTTGAAAACAAAACAAAACAAAAAACAAGCATCATAGTCGACGAAAGTGGTATTGCTAGCACTACTCAGATTGCATAGGTTATTATTTTCGCACAAGTCAGATTCGTTAGGAAATGCTTCTCACACCAGTCAAATTACAACAGTAGGGTTTTTTGCCCAGACTACAGCATTGGGATATGTTGCATTTCCTACTAGTACAATAGAATTGATGCCGACATTCGAAGGCAACCTTTTCTATTATGTATTAAGTAAAATGCTGCGATGCCTGTTGAGTGTTTGGGTAATAGCACTTTTAAAGCAGTCGAGTCACATTATTGGTGGCAGTGTTCGTAGTTTGTCTTGCACGCAGATCACTTGGTTTCCTTTGCCTTATGGTCGCCTATTAAGTGAAACTTGGAAAGATCAGCGAGTTATTTTTTCTTTCTACTTCGACTGCTGTGTTTTAGAATAAAAATACCCCTTCCTTTGCTTTGCTTCTTTTGCTGTTTTGTGATTTACTTCAGCAATCTTATATTTAAACAGTATTTTTCAAATACAGTCACAATGCTGCTTGCCACTTTTAATTAGGCTTTGCCTAATTACATGAAATTTTCCGTTACAGAAAGTGAACTCTATCAAACATTCCTAACCCACTGCAACAAATTTCATATCCACCAAAATACTGTTGTTAGTCAATTTCCCGCGTATTCTTACGCCCTTTTACGCTTTCTGCTGATCAATTTGATTCTAAGTACCAATTCTTCGTAAACAGCCTGAATTTTAACACGTACTTCATATGAGAGAGAAAAGTACAGATAGGAAAATAGGTAACACTGAACCGACTAAGGAGCCCACATTGCTGTACTCGCGCTGAAACCTCTGAACTAGTTCCCTTTTGTCTTCGTTTCAGGTGTTCTCACGCAATATCTCTGGTTAGGGTTTATAGGGGAAAAAATAATAGGCTCAAGCTCTCGGCAGTAAAATTTAGTAACATGATAATTTTGAGGCAAATAACTGTAAGGAGGTAGTTTTTGTGAAGGCGGCCCTCACAGCGAAATTGAGACAAGATATGCGAGCATTGAGGAAGGAGAGGCGGAATACTGTGATTGCCCTCTAGAAATGGCCATACTGCTCGATAGCATCCACGACGGCCTCTGGAAACGTTGCAAAGGCTTTTCAGTTTGAGCTTAAAACCTCCAATAGCCTTGAAATGTTCTTGATTCTCTAACCTACCTAATAATTTACACAGTGAGATCAGTCAACATACCGGCGACAAAATTTTCAGAAGCTAAAGTTAATTAAGCAAGAATGACTGAATTGACGTTAAATCTGAAATTTATCCTTTTCGTTACATGGCAAACTTCGACCTCCACGATAAAAAGGCTCTTCCAGATGACCTTATTACCTTATGTCGATAGAGAAAGGTGATTCAAAAGAGAAGCGCTCGCAAAACAAAGAGGGAAAATTTCGGGTCACGAAACATTAGAATCGAGGTGGGTCATCATTTCATGGAAAATTATTTGCTTCTTGATTTTTAAAACCATTGTTCACGATTTTTTAAAACCATTGTTTTATAATACAACCAGTTCAATCGCAAGCAAGAGGTTAATCCGATAAAGGACGGGCCATAATTAAAAGCCTCTAAAATCTTAGTAAGAAACGTTACGTTAACTGAATCGAAAGGCTTTTTTTTAAATCAATAGATTCACGATTTTAGTAAAGTCCATTTCATCATCGATAGTACACAGGAAATCGGAAAATATATCTACCCCGAACAGGGTGGATCAACCACTTCTTTGTTATTTTGCGAAGATCCTTAAAGCGCCTATGACACGGAATTTGCGTAAATATTTAACTTATCATATGAACAAACCAGTTCCGATAGAGAAAAATTTCAAAAAACTTAAGACTCAGTTTTTTCGGGTCCTAAAGTGCTCTTGTTTTGTCTTAAAGTGTGTGGTCGACTGGTAAAGATTTAGCGGGTGCTAACATAGAAAACTGTGAAAACTCTCAGTTGACACCTACAAATCTCTCACATCTCAGTCTTGTAATTTTGTATCGGCCAGCGTTGAAATACTCTAGTAATTATGTCTGTAGTGATGTATACCTACCTTCGTACCCAAGTAGTGGAAAAGAAATGGAAGTTGCCAGTACGGTTCAGCCTTACGAAGGAGAACCGTGTGCATCCTGTTCCTTAAAATTTAGTTTGATGCGTTTGTGCTTTGTTTTCCATAGCGAAATCTATATTAAGAGTGGGTAACTGTGTTCGTTTCTGTTGCCATAACATATTATTCCTTCGCACCATGTACGCATGTGCGGCGAGGGTTTCCCTCGGTCAGTGCCCTACAGTTTCGTTGCAGTAGAGAAATTCCCTGTAATAAACCAAAAGCTAACTTTTCAGCTGTATCAAGAGGCATGACAATTTTTCACCGAGAAGTCATCTAGCAGTTTCACAGCAAGTTGCTCCTTTCTTCAGAGTTTGCATAGGCTATGGTCTCGATCGTCGAGCCAGTCAAACCGAACGGACTGACGAGTGAGTTCATAGTCATCTGATTAAAGTTAATCTCAAGTAGGGATTTTAATAGAGAAAAAATTCTCAAGTTTAAGTTCAGCATTGCCGTAAGACCCATTCCGCTCAAAGGAAATAACTGACATCAGTACTGTAAATGAATATTTCGTATGCATCGACTTTCACACAGCACTTGGATTTGCTACCATCTAACTGTCAATAAAATTTTGTTTATATATATCATTGCAGTGCTTTTATCTCAGTGACATTGCTACTATTGCTACTTTTAGTTTCTTAAGGGCAGGGGGGAATTGATGGCTCGTGAGATGGATTTTCGGAAACCTAGATGAGGAGAATACATGGCCCATATGCTAGTATCCACTAGAGGTTTCGCACTGTTCACGCAACAGGATATCGGTCGGGAAAACTCAGGAAAGGGCTCGAACTTTATTACAAATGATGCATTTCTATTATTAAAATACGATGGAAACTCTAATCGGTAAGATTTTCATACGATAAGAAAAGCGCAATTGTATTCATGTGGAAAGACAAGGAGTATGAGTCCATCTCTAGCGCGTGAAATAAACAACAATAAGAAGCTCACCATTCTTCGCTTGCGAAATGTTTGCCGAAAAGAATGTTGAACAATCGTATACGGTGTTGGAATAGGCCCCTTAATCAGCTTTTTTTTTTTTAGCTGAATTCGCTGGTTATCTTCCCCTGATTTGACTAGTGGTATATGTTCGTAACAGGCGTCTTCGAAGTCGGTAGGGAGCACGACGCCGACGGCATCGAAGAGCAAAATCTCCTCGATGTCGACGATCGAAACGCGTCCATTTTGGCCATACAGCTACATCCTTTGGAAAGTAGTGTATAGAAATACTCAGTTTATATGTATTATTCTTGAGGCTAACATCATTTGGTGCTTTGGCCACGCAATACGTTCGTCCTTTCTTCTAGATTCCTCCTTTCTCTACCACAGTTGCCGACGTGTCCTCACAGTTTTTTTACTTCACAGGTATGAAACATGATCGTTTTGGCCGCGCACTTGATGGGGACACTAAATCCTACTTCAAATGTACAAAAGAATGGTCAAGGAGAACTCGTTAGGCGCTAAGGTCGATTAGATCTAATTTTAAATATAGTTATCAACCGGAAAATGCACAAAAAATTTCGTGTCATAAGCACTTCAAAACTTTTTCCAGTCAGTTTGGCTGTTTGTTTTGCGTGATCTGTTGTACAGTTTCTAATTCTCACTTATCATACTCTTGATTGATAACGTAGTCAAATGAAAGGAAGAAACCTATCAAAGTTTGTTTTCTAAGTGTTAGGGCTGAAATTCGTGTGTTCAATGCAATGTAAACTGTAAACGCCACAATAGGGTGCCATTTTAAATTTTTATCACTGTCAGGGAGGAACTCTTTTATTCTCTATTTTAACACGTTTAACTCTTCTTCGCTCAATGTGATCGTAGGTTTAACTAAATCATAACTTTCATACTCCGCACTGAATTTGTAATCAGGAAACCTGTTCGAAGAACACGTACCTCGTACTAAGAGGTAGCACCTCAAGTACGCCATTTCTCGTCAAAATAGATTCAAATCCTGAGTCGATCGTGTGTTGAATCCTTGCATAGTATATCGAACTTTATCGATCTCGACCGCGGATTGAGTTTCTTTGAGTAAGGCAGTCGAAAGAAATCGCATTCACACCTGCCCAAAAATTGAACAATAATCTCGTTGTTTGAAAGGAAAAACCCTGACCTTTTGTCTTTTCGGTGTCTATTACAGCAAGCAAAAATTAATTCAAGTTGTTCGCTTACAGAAGCATCATGTCGATTTGCCCGTCGATCCGCTACCCGAAAGCAAAGAAAATGAATAAATACGCTGGCATTATTTCATAAAATCTCTCCTAATTTGATTTTAGTAATTTCTTTGCTTAAGTTGACCTACAAAATACGCTCTAACCAACGGCGAAGTCGAGCTTGGCGAAATTAAAGCGCAGGCTTAGTCCAGTAGCAGGTTCACATATACCGATGGGTCAGATTTGCCATGATTTCCTTGGCTTTGCATGTAAAGCCCTTACACGGATAAAGACCTCCACTGAGATTTTCGAAATGTCAGTCCTCGCTACCCACAGAACTTCTTCTTAGCGATCAGATGGAAAAAAGTTTATTTATCATTTGAGGAAATCATTATAATAATGCAGGAATTGATGCACTTTAACACTAACCTGTAACACTTTCTGCTTTCGAAAGAAGCACCAAACTGCCTGAAAAAAAAAAACCACGAAAATTTATTTTTGGATTGATTTTTGCAAGCCCCGTTATGTACATTAATACTCAATATTACCAGCCGGTAATTAGTGTTCCTTCTTTAGAACCTTCTTTGTGTCAGGGGCACTAAAGGCTGAGTGGGTGGCCAAATTTGTCTTTAAAACCCGGTTTTTCAGTTTTTCATGAATGTTAAAACATTCTTTTTTTTTTAAAGATTAGTTGTTTTGCTTTAGTAATCGTGAATTGTCTTAAAATGTATTTATTTTTTCTTAGGGGACTGCTTCTGATCAGAATTAGGTCCTATTAAGAGACTTAAATACTAAGTACGCTCTCATAGGCTGAGTTTAAGTTCCTTTGGATGAGGGTATGTAAGCAGGCTTGTCTGACCGTGTTGTTGTAGGCAAGCCATCGCAATTTTTTTCCAGTTCTACTCAAGTTTAGATGAGGTAATGTAGATACGGATGAAGTCCTACACTGCTTGGAATTGACATAATTAGGCTGCAGAACGGAATCGATTTTAGTGCCTCTGTTTGCCTCAAAAAACGCCGCAAAATTATTCCTGTTCTGCAGGCTATGGTATTCTGTATCTCATGTAATCGACTGGACTAGGCTAGACTTATCAGTAGACCTGTCACGGACTAATAAAAAATAAACGCAAGAAACTTTTTGTTTTGTCTATATTCAAAATAGCATCTCTTAGGCAAAGAATGATGACAACACTTTTAACAGAGGCAGAAGCATAAGCATGAACATAATCATAATTATAGGTTTTTTAAAGAGCATTGTTAACGTTGTTGACGAACGGAAGCTGTGCCAGTCTCGCACACGCTCCAAGTTTGACGCCTTGTGAGACGGGGGACAAAAATAAAAATAATATCGACAACAAAGGTAGGGAAATAATCGTAGTTATTATTCTGTTATAACAGAAAAAGAGATAGGAAAATGGTTTTGACTTGATTGACTGTCCGCCCTGATAAGTAACATAAGACGATCGAAATTATTTTGAAAATTCGTAGGATTTGTGTGGTTACATGCAATGTTTTTATTAGCGACTGTAGTGCTCCAGGTATGCACATTAATACGTGAAAACAATTGCAAATTTCTAAAACATGGACAGTGACGAATTTTTAGATCCGTAAACTTTGAAAAATTTTTGAAAAAACGACTTGTCGAGGTAAAAGAAAACGGAGAAAAACGGAAGAGAAATCCAGTTGAGTCCAGCACAGTCCAGCATATGATATACGGTGGCCTTTTTGATACACTGGAAATTTGTTGTGATCAGTCATCCACGACCTCTCAGAGTTTACACGTATGGCTGAAGTCGTACAAAAGTCTTCTTCGCTTTGTCCAAAGATTTACGCCATTTTCCGTTATTTAGGAATAAGAAATAAGCACAAGATTAGCGAGAGTCATGTAGGAGAAAGAAAAATAAATCGAGTCGGCCACTTGTGAAATACCTAAACTATGCAGGGAAATCAACCTCAGAAGGAAATTATTTAGTAGTTAAGAGAATGAAGAGCCCGAAATTGTTTTGCAGTCGTTAAAATAGTGGGCTTTTTTTCACGTTTTAGCAGTGTCTTTGGAAAAAAATTTCGATAATTCACTGATCAGCTCGATATTTCGAAAGGGTGTAATTTATTCAGCTCTTAATCTGCTGTGGCACGCCACCAGTTTATAAGTTACATGACATTCATTTCCTCATCTTCCACAGATGTTAACAAACTTTTTGTTGAAGTGAATATCTACTTGTATAATTGAAATTGAAACTGTGGTACTGTGTCGTTAATGTCATTATCAAACTAAAGGAGGAGCCTTTCCTTCAGATGAGTTTGAACATGCGCTCGATTGAAACTAGCACAGTTTGATTTTCCGCTCTTGTTTTTCATCGCGTGATGACAGAGTCGGGCTTTGCCCTCACGCAAAAGCGATTTGTAGCAAACTAATTTGTTCCAAATGCATTTCAAAAATGAACTCATCATAATGAAAAGTGCTTACTTCCAAGAAGAAACATTAACGCTCCAGGCTTCATTCCAAATACATCAAAGATCCTGACGAGTAATCAATTTTACATTCCACAATAGTTCCACAGTACCTCAGAGTTATTTAGCCCTGAAGCCGACAACAATAGAATTGTTTTCAATCATTCAATGTTTCTTTAATTAAATTGTCTGTGATGTATGCAAATCAATTCCCAAAGTAATGATGGTGTATCAAATTAATAGCAGTAGATTTCAGAAGGAAATGTTTCGTTTGATGTACATTATGTGAGTATTGTATAAGAGTTACAATGTGTTTGCTTGTTCCAAAGCCAAGCTAGTATCCTATTCGCTATTTATTAGGTTATTTTATACTTGGATGTGATAAGTTTGGTTTTGTATTGTAAGTAACGTCAGTGTTGTTATGTTAATGTTTGCTTTGTATGGTTGCAAATTAGGTGCTGCTAAGAGCGGTCCTCTCGACTTCCCGTCGGAAAAATAAGTTTTCTTTTATTTTTTTCCTGTGAAAAGGGTTTGGGACACATGTTTCAAAAATAGTTTAGTTGTTCTCCAATTCTCATTTTTTGCGTCGCCGCAAGCCAAAAATAATTTTTGGCCAGACCACCCCTGTGGACAGCGATCGTAAGTGTAAATTTCATAGATTTTGTCTTGCTACAAGTTACAAGATGTATTCAGTGAGTTCACAGACAAAATATGGAAACTTCAGCTAAAATATTTTTCATACCAGCGTGATTAGAGGAGACCCTTCTCTTCGACATTAATTTGCATATCAAAAATTCGCTACTTTGAAAGAAAGAATTCTCAAAATGCAGGCGTTAATCGGGCTGAAAAAGCATCTCAGTGCATAGTTTGTATATTAATGAGGTCACGGATTGCCTCCAACCCGCGGGTATATCTCTAGCTTCCATCCATCAACATCTTAAAAACAACGCAAATCCAAGTGATTGCTCAATTGCGCTCGTGTCAAAGATCATTTGCATGATTCTGAAAATTGACTAAGATCTCCTTCTGACGGAATCCGATGAACTAACCCTCCTCTCCGCAGATTTGTTTCCGTCATTGATGATGTTAAGCTCTTATGGACCACAACGATTCTGAGCGATAAACTCGACATTTCGAATTCCCTGCGACCATCAAAATCAACTGGACAAACCCGGCTTGATATACTGCGTGACGTGATTGTGGAGATTTTTCCCCATGCCACGAGGCCTGTTTCGCGGGTTCTACAAATTGAAACCAAAATTAGTTAGTGTAACGAATTAGAATTGAAAGTTAATAAGGGACTAAAGAATTTTTACATTTTAATGAAAATTTTAACTTTTAAAAAGGTTTACTTGATTCATAGAAAGCAAAGATTGGAGTGGCTTTGGGTATTTGAGCCATGATTTCTCTCCTGAAATGCCGGTGCCCTAGCGGATTTGGACCCTCCTAGATTTGGACCCCCGGTCCAGATCCGCTAGCGGACATGGACTCTTTTTAACTTTTAAAAAGGTTTACTTGATTCATAGAAAGCAAAGATTGGAGTGGCTTTGGGTATTTGAGCCATGATTTCTCTCCTGAAATGCCGGTGCCCTAGCGGATTTGGACCCTCCTAGATTTGGACCCCCGGTCTAAATCCGCTGGGGATGTAAGAAAATTAAAAAGCTATGGGTAGCGGATTTGGACCCCCTCCACGGATTTGGACCCCCCAACAAAACTGACTGAAAACGTTTCAGTGCGTACTAAAGTATACTTTAATTCAAAACATGCGTCTCGTTAATGCATACGAACTGGCAGTTGGAAATGACCCGTCGGATGTTTCTCATAACCAAGAGAAAACGGGCAAGCATTTCGTTTAATGTTCCCACGATAGTCGAACAGATTGCTAGATTCAATAAGAGACAAACTTGTGATACTAATTTATTTTGTCATTGTTCAATGTCCGAATGTTGGCACGACATGGTACAGTACGAGTTGTGCGAGAAATGGTTACACTTGAGCTGCGAGGGATTTAAGACTGCCCCGGAGAGCGAGTGGCTCTGCATTGTCTGCAGATTGCCAGACTCTAGACGTCTTCGTAATTGTTAAGGTGTTATTTCGGATCCCTCAACAGTTAACAATCGTTAAAATTAGAAAATAAGATCGAGTTCGATGCAATAGTCTCCACTTTTTTTAAGACGTAGACATTAATGTTGATTTGCATCAGAGAATAAATTGACAGTTCCCATAGTTCAGAATAGAAACATTTTTACTTATCATAGGCTTTACGAACGACTTTTAGTGGGAGTAGTTTCTTCGTTCTTGTTCAGAAACTGTTTAATGTTATTAT